TTGACATTTTCGCCAATTACTAAAAATAAGGTTTTATAATTTTTGTAACGCCATTGGTTTCTTTCGTCAATTTAATAAATAAATAAGTAATTTAATAAATTCATATATTTATATATATCATTATTTAATTTTAATAGGGTAATCAAATAATTAAAAAATATACCGTGATCTCTAGACAAGTGTGATTTGGTAAAATTACAGGCACATGGGATTTGTCAACTTACGTCTCAGGTTGATGGGCTCGGTGGCAATGCCCCTCAGATCTCTGCGATTTAAAGCTCTGAGTGGCACTGTAACTGCTATGGACAAGCGTGTCGCTTACCGCCTGGTGGTGGCACGGGTTGTCCATCCCGTCACTTGGTAACATAAAACTTTTGATGTGTGTATATAAGAAGTCATACCGTGGTCAAAACCAGGTAACTATAGGTTACAATGCTTTCAGAATGCAGCACATACGACTGTATCCTAAAGCGTAGGAATACATATGATGCGTGTAGAATGATGATGAAATGAATATGACTATTAGTATTTTTTATTTTATTTCTATACTCATGGACATATTTAGGAACGCTAAAAACAGGTTGAATTATGATAAAATGCTAATACTATGGACTACTGGCCATTTTATCAGAACGTTTAATTTGAAAAAAGAATGACTTCAATCGTATTTTGATTTCGATTAAACATTCTGGTATATCGATACCAGAAATATCAATTAATGTAAGGGACAAACTACGGTTTTTCAGAAAAGCTAAAAAAAATATTTTATTTTATTAAATCTATCTATAACTTTTTACTGTCTGCTCCAATTTTGATTGTGTTTAGAGCAAAGTTTCTTAGAATTTCCTCTTCTTTCATGATATAAACGAAAGATTTAGGAACGCCCAGTGCCCAGCCTTAGATTATAAACAGATGTTTAATTGTGCCTCACGTTACTAATATTTAATGTGCAAACCGTCGTGCATAGTGTAAGCAAGAATAGAAATAGAAAATTATACGTAATTCTATTGTAAAAGATCCTTTAACGGAGTAACGTAAGACACAACTAAACATCTTTTTTAATGTAAGGGACATGCTATATTAAACCACTGAGCATTCCTAAATTTTAATAATACCAATCGATAGAGCGGGAACTTCCGAATCCAATGATATTAACTAATTTTCAACAAAGTGTCACTTACGATGCTTACTACTATATTACTATTACTATGATATTGATACTTTTGGTATATGTAGCCAATGGCTCATACGTATGTGGTTATCATATATTTTATAAAGTTCCTTTAAATAGCATGTCCATGAGCGTATTTCATATAAGTAAATACAGTTAACGTGCCAATAATAACATACTTTCTTAGTTTATAAATCAACTAGTCTTCGACCGTGACTTTTCCTGTTCTGTATTTACTTTCCCCACTGCTCTGTTTCTATCATCCATAAAGATTTAGAAATCTAGAACTATGGTCGTAAATCATGTTCCAATGGTAATTTCGTGTTGTTGTTAGCGACAGATCGGTGATAGTTACTGATAAGGTAAAAATCTAGAGAGATTGAATACTAACTTGTCAGGAGAAAATGCAGCTTGGCCTCGTGTGGCTTAAGAGACAATTTGTATTAAACAATTTTAATATTTATTCAATCTTTAATACAGTAATTAATACTTATAATAACGATATTATTTTCTACTTATTGCGTACCGTTTTAAAAGCAAAGGGTTACGCGAATAAGCTACATTAAATAAACCAATTTTAATGATTCATAACGCTAGCGCAAGCCGGTGGCCAAGAAATAAATTAATCAAGATATATTATTACAATTGAAATAAGGTATAAATTGCATTACCCTGTCTCAGAGAATTGCAATTTATACCTTATATAAATTGAAATAGCATAAAATATACATTGATAAATTTAATGTCCTCTGTCTTGTCTTCCGCCGGTTTGCGCTGGTCCTTCGAGACATAGAAGATTCAAGACGATCAAAACATATTTGACTATTACAGACGACACCATACAAATAAAAAAAAGCGAAACAGAAAAAAATTCATTAAAACATTCACACATAGGAAGTACATAAATAATTACAAAACAAAATTACAAACAATACTAAAATTAATTTTAAATATATAAACAAAGTCGGGACACTAAGGGTCGTATTCTAGAACTCTACTCAATGCTCAAGTCAGGACTTGAGTATGATTCAAAGCACTAGAAATCATACTCAAGTCCTTGCCATTAGGGTCGTATTTCCAGTGCTTGAAATCATACTCAAGTCTGTTCAAATCCTGACTTGAGCATTGAGTAGAGTTCTGGAATACGACCCTAAGTGAGTTCAAGAGAACAATATACCCACAAAAAATACGAAAGCGAAAAAAAACAACCAGTTTTTCTGATTCGTTCTGTCTATTTCCATGACTTTTTATATTTCATTTTTATGATGACAATGCACTAAACATACATAGACATTTGGTCACGAAGTCTCCAAACCATCCATTTTGAGGAGCAATCATTTCTTACCCAAGAAGAATATTCTTATTAGACATCTTTAAATAAATATACCGTTAGTTTCTATTGCAAGCACCAGTTAAATATAATTTTGAAACTGATCTCATCTCGTTAATCAAGCATTGCACAACGTGTTGTTATTGTTGTTGCATGTTGCCGATTGTAGCTTCGGTGTGTTGCGCGCGCATCCCAGTGTCGTCACTCAAGACCTCGTCGTGAGCCGCACTTTCACGTGCTGTATGCTACGTAATTAATTAAAGTGTACACAGACTTACGCTTTGGGAGAAAAACGTGCGGTCAGTTACTTTAGTTGTTCATTGAGTTTCGCAACGTGCGCCTATAAGAAAGCGAAATTACAGGCCGTATGGTTTTAGGTTTCGAAAGACTGTTATACATCATTCCGTGGGTACCGTGATGAATGAAAGCTACTAAAAACAAGAAAGGCCCTAAAATGGCGCCCTGTGGAAGTTATACTAGCTTGATATAGTCTAGCTCAGCATTGTGGAAATATAAGAATTATAGCGGTAATTCCCGCTGGAAGGAAGGCGTTGAGTCTGGGTCTCTGACCATTCTCTAGTCAAGCTGGTTCTAGTCAACCAATGGCGTTTAAGGGCTATACCTATCACATTTTTATTACATACATGCCATCACAAAACAAAAAAATGGTCGAAAGTTTTCGCAATCGCTACAACATTGGAAACTAAACTTTATCGGATCTAAAATTGCGTATGTTCGTTTTTTTTTTTTTCAACCAAAAGCAACGTTTCGAATTCTTTACAGGACCCAGCTGACTCATGTCTACTTGCGTTAAACTAAAGTACGTCTTAAATCAAAGCTTACAATGCAAAGTCACTCTTAATACTATGTGTTAAGAGTGTCTTGTAAATTCAAGCATTGGTTTAATGTAATTGCAAGTGGATATAAGTGTTTCAATTCCAATAAAGAATGCTCAACAAAAACAAGGGACGAGTCTAGCTACAATCTCAGCTTGCTAACAAACTTGTTGTTTTGGAACTGGCAAGACTTTAACTTCGCGGATAGTAGATACTAATGTTTAATATAAACCTTACGGTCTACAGAGAAGGTCGCCTGACATAATCATGATTTACAAACAAATAATCACGCGTGATCTAAAGACTGCGTCAAGGAACGTGACGCAACTGGTCTTTGTACGACTAATTTGTTCATCGTCGTGTTTAACAGACAACTGTAAAGTGATAAGAATTGAATATATTTCTTATGATGTGTTCACATCATTATTTTAAGTTTTAAAGAGTGATGATGCCAGTAAGAAAACAATATGACGAAAGCTAGACATCATAATGTAATACTATGGTTGGGAAGGCGATCGGAATAAGTATTCAAGAGACATAAACAAAGCGGTGCATCTAGAATTTTATTAAAATGCCTAAATTATTTACATAGAAAACATTTCGCACCACAAAATAGAATAAAAAAAAACGTATGTGGCATCAATCACCAACTATACATAATATTACAAAATTCTTTTTGATATGAAAAATGGAACATTTATTTTATTTTGTCAGTTTCCAAAAGTGTTACTTTCTGAATTATTATCACTTTATGACTGAGGGTGCGTTTTGCAATTAACATTTGTGGGCTATTTATTTTAGTTTCACAACATATACAGTAATAGTTTCACTCTAAATGGACATGATGGCACCTTCATTTGGTTTACGACTGAATGTAAATGGACATCGAATGTGTCTGAAAGTATTTTTGGCAACAGCAACGGGGGCAAAGGCCAGATGGTATAAATTGAAATTTATTGCAGTTTTAAAAAAAATATCGAAAGATATCGTGGATTTTTGAGTTGTGAAATATTCAGATGACAAGATAGCACTTTCTCTCGCGCCTGCGTAGCCAGTGCCGACCCGGACGCGCGGCGCATTGTTTTTGTTGTTAAATGCGATATTATTATTGTACGAAATTGAAAGTCAAGTTGTGCTATACTTGGTGAAAAATCGAAAGCAAATTGCCGACAGCTTGGTTATGTTTAACTACTTAAGCATTAAGGTTACTATGTCTTATTGGTGCACTTTCGCTTTTGAAGATAACGTAAACGCAGGTGTTTGCGTATTTTACTATATATTTCAGTAAGAGGTTGTGACATCATATCGTTTTGGTATGTGGTCGTAAAGTTTGTGTTCATTTAACTTTATATTGAAATTCGATGTTTAGGGTGTAAATTAAAGGGACTTTTATTGAGTAACAACTTCTGATAATCTATGTATACATTGCTTTTGAAACAAATAGTGCATAGGTAGTACTATGTACGTAGGCTAGTTACCTAATTTACTTCTAGTTATCGAAACCTATTTGAGTCAAACGTCCATTGACTATAAAAAAAAATACACAACAGTATTGGGTTTACCAACCTAAAAACAAAAATTTTGTAATATCACTCGTTCAAGTCGAGAAAATCACTTTTGAAAATAGATTAAAAAAGAAAGTGAAAATAGAAAGAAAACTCACCCTCTCGCAAGGTGGTGGAGCTGCGTCCACCTCCGTATAAATACATAGAGTGGACTTCCTCGATAAGGAATCGCTGGCGAGACTGCTGGAACTGGAGCCCGTGGAGAACTTCATCGTGCATCAAGTCACGTCCAGCTGCACATCTATGTGGTGTTGCCAGCACATCACACAGGTGCCGCCACCTGCTCAGTTTCTACGGCGTTGCCAACTCTCGATCTGTTTCTGCTGATGCAGGTGTTTCAAGCTAGTCCAGATAACTAATATAGTCAATTGCCAGGTGTTCTCGTGTTGAAATAAGCTGGTGTGAGTGACAGTCAGCGAAGTTATGGGTTGAGCCTGTAACAAAAGACAATTCTAGGTTAGCTTTTTTTAATTTATCGGCTTAACAAAAGGTACTAACAGCAGCATACCAAGCTACACATTGACGGATCTTGTTCCGTTGCTGTTGAAGCAATATTTGAACAAAAGTGTATAGTTTCATGTTGACTATAGGTTAGTACTTTACGACTGCAGACAGCTTCAAATATTCTTAACCCTTTAACCGCCAATGAGGCTTTAAAACGTCCATGAAACCCTTTAATTTTCAATTGAAATTAATAAATAAATATTAAGATATTCCTTGACTTAGTACAATTGAATTAATATAAGGTGGAAATTCATAACATGTCACATCCATCACTACATAAGCTTGGCATCTAGGAAAGGGAACTAGCTAGTGTCGGTCAAAAGCTTAATTATACTTAAGAAATTACCATGACAACATACGTAAGATAAATATAACAGAATAAACCGATGTACAACGGGTGACCGTATTACACAATAGGATACAAAATAAAAAAATCAAAGATAATTATGTGCCAGATGACTACATCAATTACCTGGTCTCAAACTAGGGAATTCAGGTTAAGAAACGCTGGTGTTACCTGAGATTTCAGGGTTAATAAATATGGAAATCTTTGGTAAATATGAACTTTATTTGTAATGAATATAAGTTGATTACATTTTTATCGTTGATTACAAAAGTTACAAAAGTTAAAAACATTTGAAGTTCAGTGTGTCGACAAGTTATTTAACAATTTTTAATCTAAATACCTTATTCTTTGGTGCAACGTTGTTAGCATAAAAATTACACAATGCAATGTGATTGCGTGTTTTGTAGCAAAATGTTGAAATCAAGGATTTAATATTTAGATAAGAAATGATAGACGGTCGGAATCCATTAGTAAAGACGGAGGTTATTTTTAGATCAATAAAGATTGTGACTTCGAAATATCGATCAGAAAGGTGAAATATGAAGGTTGCTTTAGATTTCTGAAGTGCGAACCTATTATTAGCATAATGTACGTATATACTGCCTTTCAAAAATAATGGCTCAATACAAAATAGTTCACTTTTCATTAATTGCACAGCTGTATTGAGAATGTACAGATTCTGAGAGCCTTCTTACGCATTCAACAGAAGATTGTAAGGGCGCGTTGCCTGCATTATGTCTTGACGATAGACAGCCGTGCAGTTTAAAGTGTCGTGACTTGTATGTTTCAATGAAGTTCACATGTAGTAAACCACGATTAATTGTCGTTCATGAGTTTTTTGACGTTACGATGACAGACTGTCGTGATAGTGGAAAAAGTTAGAACGACAGTCGTCTGACGGTAAATAAAACGTCACGATAAAAATGTGACGATAGATAATCGTAACTTCAAACGATTTTGTCGTGCAAACGATAAAGCGGCTGCCGTGATCCAATAAATTGTTGTTACGATCTAGTGGGAACAGCTAGACACGACAGTCGTTCAATGATAAGATTAACTTCCACGACACAATCACGACAGATAGTCGTGATATGGGAAAAGGCTAGACGCGACAGTCGTCCAGCGATAAATGAAACGTCGCGACGTAATGGGAACGCGCCCTAAAGGAATTCCAGCTTTTTGGTTGAAATCAATATTTATGTAGTTAAAGATCAAATTGGCTTAAAAAGTTATTATGTAATAATGATATAATGAACGATGATGTAATAAAGAAGTCATATCGAAATTAATTTCACGGCTCAAAGTTTATGGGTTAAGTTTATTTAACACCTTTCTTCACACTGATCTACTCATAACTAATATAATCCGTTAGGGGGTCAGGTATCTTAGAGCATTGTTGGTATTATTTTTCTATAATCAAGACACCGAGATTACCTTTTGGTTAAAATAATTACGTCACAACTTTTACCCCGATTCGATTCGAGCCTCAGTTATTCAAATATCTTCCTGAAGGTTTTGTTCCACCTTTTAAAAATAGGGTCAGGATTGCACCTGACTTCTTACTACGTGTCAGTACCGTGTCCATACTAAGCGTGAGTTATTTTTGGACTTCAACCTCAGCATACCATAAATCGCAAGTGTAGCGATGCAATCGCGCGTTTGTATAGATACAGTCGCGCGCTTGCATCGCGTTTGTATCGAAAGAAAATAAACGTATATTCAGCGTAACAGAATTCAAACAAAACAGATAATTCACATTAATCATTACATATATCTATAAGCTGAAACGGATCCAACTCAGCATATATTACAGCTCGCCTGCTGTAACGCTGGTTTTCATTTGGAACCGCTTTTACAAAATGAGATGGCACGTAAGTACAAGTGTGGTTAACATTAAAATTATAAAATGTAACTTAAATATTAACTAAAAACAAGTAGAAAAATTACTAGTAGGAATTATTACATGACTTACTTAACTCTCACAAGGTACGGCTGGTATGTATAGTTGAGTCTCTTTTAGAGCATACCTATACTGTGTCCATACTAAACATGTCATTGTGTTTTCTATAGGCTCCGACCTAAAAGGTAATGACTCATAGAAGTATTGTTTTGTTAGCTTTAAACATCGAGTATATAAACAGAAATAGAGACGAAATGTCATTGAATTTGTTTGAAAACTATTCCGCCAAATAATTACGGTGACAACTACGCTCAGGTTGGCCAACCCGAATTCGAAACAATTGACGGGTGTCGTAATTGCTTGACTTCAAAATGACTAGAAAAATAAAATAAAAAAATAAAAAATAAATACGGTATATTTTTGGAATATACGGAAACGTGCATACAGGTCAGTTGTTGGCGCTGTACTATTTCAGTTTTCTAATTTGTGATTTCAGTGCAAATGAGCTAAGGTCCATTTGCGTGACGACTATTTCTGGTTATATACTCGATGGCCATAAATTATCCGATTTTAACTTCAGAATTGGAAATATGACTAATTTCTTCTGGAACTTCTGGAATCACTCACAAAGTACTCATTGTGGTAACAATGAGGAAAACAACAAATTCACAAGAATATCACTGACCTAGCGGTTTACATTGTGGATAAGAAACAAAAAGTCTCGGGTTCGATTCTCGTTATTATTACAGGAAACTAACTTTTCTGATCTGGCTTCTTGAGTGACCTCAGAGTTATAGCACGAGGAATTTAGGTAATTGGTGCAATTGTCTGGCACTTATTTATCAGTCTTGTGTTCTTTTAGATATCAAGAGACGAGAGAAATAGCGATGCGCTATTACGAATGATTTCAATATTCGACTCGTTAGTAATTACTAATCGTGTCATTCGACTGACAAATTAGTACTCTAGTAATTTTCGTATTCGAATGGTCTGAACGATCATTCCATGCGCAATTCCTTAGAGCATTTCTGCCCAGCTCTCTCTGCAGTGGCGGATTTGCCCTAAGCCAGATTTTAGGGGCGGCCAATCGTGACAAAAAATTCAAACTCAAAGTACATAAATATTCTGCAGGTTCTAAGTATTCTAAAGGCATCGTATAACTATAATCTTCCTAAATCACTTTCGTATATTTTATGTACAAAATATAGATATGTGACATAACTATAATGTAATGTATAATCACTACATCACTAGATATATTATCACAACCGCGTCTGTCTGCTTGTCTCATCGCGATAAACTCAAAAATTATTTGATTCGGATCATGCGGTTTCCATCAATAGACAGAGTGATTCATGGGGAAGGTTTTGGTGTATAATTTATGTAGGTTTTGTGTAAGTTGACTAAAATATGACGATAAATGTTGAACGTGTCGGAAAAAATTACAATTCCCATGTGTCTGTAGTTTCACTGGCATAATTACCGTCCAAAATCTGAATGCAGTAAGGCTCACATTACTACTTGGCGGCAGAAATTATGTTCAATGTAAATTTAAGAAAAAGCAAGTATTTATAGGGTGTAGGGTGTACAGAAAATACAACTATACTTGTGTCCACTGACTAAAACGCGGTTAAGTGACTAATGGTGAAATATCCGTTTCAAATAAAATAAAATAGCCCACAAAATTCACTTTTAAAAACAGTTAAAATTAGTTAACCTGTTCGATTTATCGGAACTTACCGTAACGACGCATAGCTGAAATATCATTAAACAATTCCAATATTCTGAAATTGGGTTTCTGGTTTTTGATGATATCTCAAAAAACTATATTGTCAGTTAGCAGTATACAATGTATATGCCTGCTGTACGTAATAATAACTTAAATAACTAAATTCTGTTGTTCTCGCAATTGAGAGAAATACCGGACTACCACCAAAAAGAACTGTACGTAATTAGTGTTTATTTCGTTTAGAAAAAACTAACCAAGGATTCAACTGACTAAATTTTGCTGTTAAAAATGTCGAAAAACCGATTTTTCGTGTGGTCTAGATACGTTAAAACGTTTATTTCGGGTTTCACTTCACCTTATAATTCATATAAATATAATCACGTACCTACGAATTCTTACGTACAATTCCAAGCCAGTCTATCGCAAGTCTATCATATCCGACGTCCAATATTATCTAACTTCATCAAACACCAATCTCTTGATGCATTGTACAAATACACACGTTCCTAGTTAAACGAAAAAGCTTAAATACAATCTTAACACCATAACCATAAGGTTACAATTCAATTTATCAAGGTGGAAAAAAAACCAATTGGTTTTATGAAAGAAATCTTGCGTTATACCATTGTTCAGTAAGTGGTAATAAATTAATATCGATTTTTATTTATAATCAACTTGGACGTCAAAGTGAATTTCTCTTGACGTCTTGATGGGATATCAAATGTTTGTTGCGTAATATTGATTGTATTACCCGTGTTGCTATGTGTCAGAGCATTTCTCTTTTGGGCTGAGTACGATGAAGGCAAAACGATTTTGCACTCTATTGTATCTTAAGGAAAGTCAGCAGGAGAAAAAAGGTAGGGTTTGAAAACATGTAGGAATGGACATCATACCGAGCTCAGGCAACTTATAATAATAATATGACAGACAACCACATCAATTACACGGTCTCAAA